GCCCAGGAGTTTGAGACCAGCCTGGGTCTCTACTAAAAAATAATTTTAAAAAAATTAGCCAGATGTGGTGGCTCATGCCTGTAATTCTAGCACTTTGGGAAGCTGAGGTGGGAAACTGTTTAAAATCTGGGAAGCTGATTGAGCTCAGGAGTTCGAGGTTACAGTGAGCTATGATTGTGCCACTGCATTCTCTAGCCTGTGTGACAGCACAAGACCTTGTCTCTTAAAAAAAAAATCAATAATAGTAATAATAATAACTAAAGGGTCTATAAGAATATAAACACTGTTGTTTATTTTCTCCTTCTAGAAATCCATTCTAAGGATATAATCTAAAATGTAGACAAAAAGCTGTGCACACAGTTATTATTAAGAGAAAAATGGAAACAACTTAAATGTCCTTAATTAAAAGATTATTCATATGACAAAATACCATTCAGAATGTTTTCAAAGAATTCTTGATTACTCCGGGATATACTTATGATATAATGTTAATTTTAAAACATAGGTTCAATAATATAAAGGAAAAAGACACAGGAAAAAGGTTGGCAGTAAACATGCCAAAATGTTCCCAGTGGTTGTCTCTGGATAGTAAGATTCTGAATGTGTGGGGGTGTGTATATTTCTTCATGCTTTTCTACACATTGCAAATGCTCCAAAGGGAGCCATATTAATTTTATAATCAGAAAAGAGTAAAATGTATATAATATTTTTAAAAATAAAAACTTCCAAAGGTAACAACAGACAAGAACTTAGGTATCTGGGCAATATTATATAAGAAAAATAAAATACTGTGCTACTGGCTCTGACATTACAGTTTACAATTTATTCTCAACACCACAGCCAGAGTATCCTTTAAAGGCAGGGAGTATGCCAGGCGCGGTGGCACAAACCTATAATCCCAGCACTTTGGGAGGCCAAAGCAAGAGGATTTCCTGAGCTCAGGGGTTTGAGACCAGCCTGGGCAACTGGGTGAGACCTTATTTCTACAACAGATCAAAAAATTAGCTGGGAGTGGTAGTGCATGCCTGTAGTTTCGGTTACTTGGAAGGCTGACGTGGAAGGATTGCCTGAGCCCAGCAGGTTGAGGCTGTGGTGGCCGTGAGCATGCCACTGCACTCCAGCCTGGGCAACAAACTGAGACTCCAACTCAAAAAAAAAAAAAAAAAAGAAGGGAGTTCAGATCCTGTCTCTGTTCTACCCAAGACCCTCCAAGGGCCCCCTATTTCACTGAGTCTAAAAGCCAAAGTCCTTGCAAAAGTCTCCAAAGACCAGCACAACCTGACCCCTCAATACCACATATCTAACCTCTTTTCCCCAACGCCAACTTTGGTCCAGTCACACTGGTCTCTTTGCTATACTTCAAACCCACCAAGCACATACCTGCTTCAGGCCCTTTGCACTTGCTGCACTCCTACTTGGGACGCTTTCCCTCCACCCAGCCACACAGCATGCTTCAGATCTCTGTGCAAATGCCATTTTGCCAGTGAGCCCTTCCCTGACCCTCATTAAAATAGCAACTATCACACTGTTCCCAGCACCCTTTTTCCTCTTTGCCCTGATCTCTACCTGTGACAGAATTTACTGGGTCTGTGATCTCCCTCTCCCACAAGGAGAGCTATTTTGCCTGGTATGTAGAAGATGCTCAATAAATATGAAGAAATAAATAAACACATTAGATGGTAAGCTCTTCAAGAGCGTGGGGCCTAGCCTCACGTTGCTGTCCCATGAAAGGGCATCAAAAGGAAAGCAACGCCAGCCTGCCAGCCCCGGGAACAGTTAACCAGCATTTGACCCACTCCAGAAAAATTACTTACAATTACAGCCAGAGATGATAGGAGTGACGCAGCAAAAGGAATGGAAGATAAGAGGGCTTGGGCAGAGAGGGACAAGAGTTTCCATCAGAAAGTCCAAGCTCTTCCATTAGGCTGAGGCTTTTGCTGCAGGACAGAACTCCACATTTTAATCACAGATTCAGAACCAGCTTAAAATCGGACATTTTAAATGCTCTTTCTATTTTTCTAACTCTTTATTATGACAGATAGTTTTCCAAGGGAAAAAAAAGGCATTAGGAAACCAATAGCCCTGGCCCTCTCCCACCCACAAAGCAGGCAGGAAAGTCCAGCCCATGGGTCTGGTATCCACAGCCCCCAGACTCATCTACCACCTGCACGTGAGGCTCCGTCCATGCCCACTAAATGTCCACCCTATGCCTGGTGCTGCAGAGGGGATATTCTTGATCTTGCTAAGTTTTATCGGCTTCTAGAAATTCAAGGACAGAGTGATAACATAATGCACAGCCTCATATTCTTTGCTTTAGGGAAGATAAGAAAATTCATCCTAAGTTATTTTGGACTTTTCTGGGCACTGGAGAGCTCTGGAGATTAGTACAGGCTGGTGGGAGGTCATTCCTGCGTGTGGTCACTCAGGACTGTTAAGGAGTTTGAGGGTGGCTTGTTGTGAGACTGGCGGGAGCAGCCCTCCACTAAATGATTAGTTTGCGAAACCTGTCCTTCCTTCCATTCGCCTTCTTTTCCTTGACAGTGCTTTCGTATCTGCCCTCCCAGAGCTCAGCCATCATTCCATTAATGAATTTCCTCTCTATGGGTATCTGCCTCTTGAAAGGGGTCCCCTGAAGAATGGAAGGACCTCAAGTCCTTCCTCAAGGGGGTAATTTCTGGTTGAGGAGGAAGGGAAGTCTCTAATATTTATGGAGTACCTACTCAATGTTGGACATTTTGTATACTATAATGATCTTGCTGAATTCTCACAGCAACTCTGTTTAGTAGGTATTATCATCTCCATTTCCAGGATGAGGAATTGGAGACTTCCAGGTTGGGCAGAATGCTAGTTCACACTTTGAGGCCCTGCCTGCTGCCGTCTTTGTTCCAATAATAGATGAGAGAGAAGGAAAAAAAAAAAAAATCTATCTATATATATATATATATATATATGTACATATTTTTTTTTTCCATCTTTGACTTGGAGTCTTACTTCGTCGCCCAGGCTGAAGTGCCGTGGCATACTCACGGCCACCCCAGCGTCACCCTGTGGACTCCAGTGATCCTTCTACCCCAGGCTTCCAAGTAGCCAGAACTATAGGTGCGTGCTACCATGCCTGGCTAATTTTTGATTTATTGTAGAGACGAGGTCTCACCAAGTTGCCCGGGCTGGTCCCGAACCAGTGGGCTCAGGCTATCCACTTGCCTCGGCCTCCCAAAGTGCTGGGATTACACGCTGAGCCACCGAGCCCAGCTGATGAAAATAATTTAAAAGCAACAACAACAGTAAGTAAACTTATCTGTGCTCAAAAACAAGATATATATCTCAATGGATCAGAAACTCAAAATATTTACTATTTTGAGGGGCTAAAGGGACAGCCTGCTGAGCTCTGAGTCCAGAAGCAGGTAGAAATTCAAGGACAGAGTGATAACATAATGCACAGCCTCATATTCTTTGTTTTAGGGAGATTCATTGTCCAGGGTACAAGGACTAAAAGTGTCCCTTGGGAGATGGGGGACCAGAGCAGAGTCACTAAAATGGGGCTGGTGAAGGGATTTCCCACCTGGGAGAGAAAGCTTAAAAAAGTAGAGTCTTGTCCCAAGACTAGAGCATATATAAAAAAAAGAGTTCAGAGGAAAGAAAGTAGTACACACAGCCTGGAACAGGGCCTGGACCTGGGCCAGGCTGTCACACTGGTATGAGTAGCTCTGGAAATAATCCCATTATCACCATGGTTAGAGGCTCACCACAAATCCAGGACACCTGGCTCAGCACTGGGTACCCAGGTAGAGGCAGCCATAAAACCATTCAGCAAGGAGAGCTGGGTGAGAAAGAGAGAAAAACAGACACCCATGCAAGATGAGCACACAAACTGAAATTCCAAAACATGTGAGGAAAACTAACCCTAAGAAAGACAGCCAACAAAACCACCAAGTAGGGGATAGTCTCAAAGAAAGATTGAGTGAATTGGGAGGCAGTACTGAAGAACTCACCCAGAAAGTATCACCGAATGATAAAGAAACAAACAAGAAAGAGCAGCTGGGAGCTACTGATATTAGTTGAGAGGATGGAAAATGTATCCAATAGGATTTTCAAAGAGGAGATGGAGTGGCAGAGTAGCAATATTAAAAAATACCACGGCTGAGAATTTTCCAGAATTGGAGGTCTTTTAGGTCTCCTTGAATTAAAAGCACATGTCAAATACCAAATAAGATAAAAATAATGATAAATCCCTATCTGGAAAACCAGAGGCTTGTTCCTTCTGCTGGCTTATTCTGTCCTTACCCTGCCTCCCCCTAGCCCTCCCCAGAAACTGCCGGCCACGTCCTGTGTTTCAGCTCCATCCCAACCCCGGGACAGGGAGCAAAGCCCCGAGCTTGGGGTTAGAAGATGCAGCTCTAGTCTTCCCCTCACTCCTGGTCTGCTACTGCCTCACAGTCCCTGCTGAGCCTCAACTTCCCCCCCTCAAGTGGCATTGGAACTAGAATGACAGAACCTTAGCACCAGAAGAGCCTTTGGGGGTGGCATTGTCACAGCAGACCACAGCTGTGTTTGATTTCCAGATCCCCCCGCTAACCAGCTCAGTGCTCAAAAGTTACTTAACCTCTTGTGCCTCCACTTTCCCACCAGGAAAAAGGGACGAGAATAGCACCCTCATGGGGTGGTGGAAGGAGGAAATGAGTTAAAACATGTAAGGAGCCTAGCTTCCTGGGGTTGTGACGACTATTACTATAACTATAGTCTCCACCAAACACCACATGCACACACATAGCAGGAGGAGCTTCCCACTGAAACCAGACGCGTCAGGTACAGAACCTGGGCCCACTGCCACCTCTGCACAGGGTTTATGAACAAGTCAGCGGGTTGTCCCTCCACACCCTTTTCCCTTGGTCACCCCTTGGGCAGTCCCTCCTTGACTTCCAGAGAAGCCCCTCCCAGCAATAGCTATCATTCACCAGTGTGGTGTTCCTGGACCCCACCCATTGCTCTGGACACCCTACCTCTCTTTGCTCGCTGCAGATCTTACACAGCCACAGGGGCCGCTTCTGGCCAGGGGAGGCCTCGATCCCACATTTGGTGCAGACTTTCTAGAAGAGAGAGGACAGGATACAGAATCATAAATACTTCAGCCGCTTTCTCCTCACCGAGGGGCCAAGACAGCTTAACCAAGGGACTCTGGTATCTTCCAAGGGGATGGCTCTTGCCTCAGGATGGAAAGTCACCTAAAAGACCCAGATAATCAATGAAGCCTTAGCTGGTTTGGGGGCATGATGGATGTCCCCCATTCACGTATCTCCATGATACAGATTTCATCCACAATTATGTTCTGCTAGCATCTCAGCAAAAAATAAACTTGCTGATATTCACGGCCACCTCATTCTCAAAAGCAAAGAATTGGCAACAAACCAAATGCCCAATACCAGGAGGAGATCCAGGCAAACACGACGGAATGTCACATGGCCTTGACATAGCACACTGTGGTACTACCTGGGTATAGTGGCGAGAAATGATGCTACTGTAAACCAAGAAACCATGTTTTTGTATACAATTACATGCAAACGCACCTGTGGGCCTGACTGGTGAGAAGTCACTATGGTGAGAAATACTCGTGACTGCTTGAGCAGCTACTCCATGCCAAGCCCCGCTGAACCATCCTAGTGGCCCCATTATGGCAGCTTTAGGCTCATTTTACAGGTGAGGAATCTGGGGCTTGGGGAGTTTGAGAATTTGCCCAAGTTCATATAGCAAGTGCGTGCTAGATTCAAGTCTGACTTTAGAGTCCCTTTTATCATTTTCTCTGAACGCAGACATAGCCAGAACCTGGATTCTATAGTGTTTTTCCTTCTACAGAGTTGTTTAACTCACAACTTCTAAAGACAGTTATGTGTTGCTTAACGGCGAGGATATGTCCTGAAAAATGCATGGTTAGACAATTCCATCATTGTGCAAATATCACAGAGTGCACATACATAAATCTAGATGGTAGAGCCTACTACCTACCTAAGCTAGATGGTACAGCCCATTGCTCCTAGGCTACAAACCCGTATGACATGTGACTGTTATTGAGTGCTGTAGGCGACTGTTACACAGTGGTGAGTATTTGTATATCTAAACATAGAAAAGGTAGAGTAAAAATATGGTGTGACAATCCTAGGGGATCTCCATGTGACATGCAGTCTGTTGTCGACCAAATGTCATTATGGGATGTAAGCCTGTCCTTATTTTGCTTTCCCTGAATGCCCAGCAACAGGCGGAGGGGGTAAAGGCACACACTGGGAGGCAGAGGTGGGTTTGTTGGGGCTGAGGCTGGTTCTGGGCTAACCAGGCAGAGTCTGATTCAGTGATAGCTAGCGACTCCTCAGAGGACTGTCACACCAGCTAATCAATCTTTCTGCCACATGGAAGCCACCAGGTCCCTGCGTGGGTGGGGGCTCTCTCCAGCCCCCTGCCGAGGGAAGGCTGGATCTGTGGCTTGGCCTTTTCTGCAGGCTGCTGACTGAGCAAGGAGCACACCTCTCAACGGAGAGGGAAATGTCACCAACTTGGCTTCCCAAAGCATGTCGTCACTGGCCTGATTGGGTGGCTGAGCTCAGCACTGCAGGAGTGGGGGGAGCTAGCTCACGGGGAAGGGAAGCTATGACACATTCATGAGGGGAGGTGGATTTGCTACCATCCAATGCTCAGGTATGGGAAATGTCACTTCTCTTTTATTTCTCCAAATAAAACATAATGGGCTCGGTGCTCTTGTCCCTCTGGGCTGGCAGGAAAGTCTGTCCTGGGTCCCAGCCGTGATTGGGACCCCTGCCCAGCTCTCGTGAAGGTCCTGGGCTTGGGGTCTTTGGTGGTCCAGCACATCTGCAGAGGGTTCCCTGGGCACTGTCCCCACTGCCCATTGCTGGGCTGCCTGCTCTCCAAGCTCTCACGGCCCCCTTGAAAGGGAGAGGGAGAGCTGGCTGCTTCTGTGCCAGGCTGCAATTGAGCCACTGGAGGGACCAGCAGTCTCTCTCCCCAGAGCCTGAAGCCACCCTGCCCGATGCAGTCTGGAGACCCCCTGCTTCCTCACAAGAGCTGTCTCTCTCTCCCCCTCCCACCACTCAACCCCAATTCTTCTACCTCTGGGACTCCTAAGCTTCGGATATTCTCTTCCATAAGATGTGATAATAATATTTATCCCCTAGGTTGTTTTGAGGATTAACTGAGAGACACAAGACAAGCAACCAGCACATAATAAGCACTCAGTAAATGCCAGTTCCTGTTATTATTAGCGACCCCCGCTGTGTGCTGTTCCAAAATCCTGCAAGATTCTCCTATGGATCCGCACTAATCCACACCAGTCACAGGTAGCTTTGATTACCAAATTCAACAAAATGAAAAACTCAGTTCCTCGGTCACACTGACCACATTTCAGAGGCTCCATTGTCACAAGTGGCTGGTGGCCACTGTTTGGAACAGCACATAGAACACTTTTGTTATCACTGGGAGTTCAGCTGGATGGCACTGAGCCAGAGGACCCCACCCTCCGTCTGGGCCCCCAGGACTCAGTCTGACTCAACAACCCATTCCCAAGGCTCCCCACAGTGCCTGCTTCTGATCAGATGAATGTGCTCACGTGCTTGCCCCATCAGCCAGGCTCCCATCTCCACCCACACCTTCTCACTTACTGATCCATGTAACCATCACCTGCTGGATGCCCACGCAAAGCACAGCCCCGGATTGGCAGGGCTTGGGTTAACAGGGCAGGGCCTGGGCCCCACCCAGAGATACACCACACGCTCGCTCAGACATCAACCTGCCAAGGCTGAGGGGGTGCTCAGCCGCACTGCAGGGGTGACAGCTAAGCGGGGGGTTTTGGAGGATGAGTGTTCACATGTTATTCAATAAGTACTGCTGACTGATGAGACATTTATGCTGTTGGGGGCAGGGAAAGAAACCAGGAGAGAGTATGCAAAAACGGTGTCCCGTCCTCCACCCATGGGCAATGGGAACACAGAGCTGCCTGGTCTGGGGACAGGAGCAGTGTAGCCAGTTGCTCTCCAGAGGTTGTGTCAAGGGCTGTCAGTCAGCTCCAGTCCAGGAGGTAGAGAGGAGGGACGAGCAGCTGTCCCTGCTGGGGCTGGGACTTCCCACTGTCCCCAGCAGAGGGTCCATAGGGTCTAATATTGCCTGCTCCCGGGCTCCAACAAGGACGTGTGGCTGTCCAGGTGGAGAGAAAAACCTAACTGGGCAGAAAAGGTGGCCGAGAGGGCTGTCCTATGTACAGTCCTGCTGATGGCTGGTGGAACCCCGGTCAGTTCCTGCCATCTCTCGATCATCTTGATGTGCCTGCAGCCTCTCTGGCTGGCAGGGGGCACGGGGCATTCCTAAGAGGCCAGGGCCAGGAGAAGATGACAGGCTCTAGTTCAAATAATACATAATTGCTTCTCTATTAAATCTCAGATCAATAAGGGAATAATGAGTCTTTTCCCCTTAGGGGCTTGGTCTTTGTTCCCAGATTCCAATATAGGAAATTAGGCAGGTGGCATAAAAAAATAAAATAAAAAATTTTAAAAGCCCAAGCCCATGGGAAAGAGAGCAAGTCAACTTCTACATCAGTTTGGTGCAAACACAACACTTCACGATCTGTGTTGAGGACAGTCCCAGGGCCCAGGGGTGGCCACTTGCTTCCCTGCCTAAGATGGGTTTCCTTTCAGCAGATCTGCCCTGGGCAAGTGGATATTGGCTTCCTGGACTTGGCTGCTTCACACATCTTGCAGCCTCGAACTGTGTCTGAGTGTTCAACAAGCCGGATTCAGAGCAGAAATGAAAAAAAACTCCTCGGCCTTCAGACCACACGCCCTCTTGCCCCACTCCAGTCTCACTGTGTGCTTTTCTTCTGTGAATATATAGCCCACCCCCCAGAACACTGGAAGGGGATGCCCAGAGATTTGCCCACAGGTTTTTGGGGGCAGGAGAGAGCAGAGTGTGCCACTTAGAGGGCACCTTGGACTGGGTACTTACCTTCTGGGAGCCTGATTCCCTGATCTGTAAATCAGTGGTAACAGGACGACCCAGGCCACAGATGGGAGGACCAAGGGAGATGATTCATAAAAGTGCTCAGCACGACAAAAGGTTTAGCAGGCAACAGCCAGTACATCTATCTCAGTGAAGGAGTATCTGTCAGCCATACAAGCCAAAACCCAGCAATCATCCTTGATCTTCCTCATCCCTCTCTCCCCAAGAATCTATCTCTAAGAACTCCAAATATCTCTCAGACCCGTCAACTCCTTCACCACCTCTCCTGGGTCCATGCTGCCACTACCTGTGCTTGGTCTGAGCCGAGGCCACCCGGCGGGTGCCCCCTGCCCCCACTTTGGCTGGCCTCCAATTGGTTCCCAACACGGCAGCCCAGCCGGACTGATCTTTTCAAGATGCAGATCTAATCATGTCACTTCTCTCATCCCTGCCAGTTTAAAAGCCGTCAGAGGCTTCCTGTTGCTCTCAGATGAAGACCACACCCTGTCACATGAGGTGGGATGCCTGGATCTACCTCCTCACCAACCTCAGCTCACACCTGCGCCCCCCTCACTGCCTCACCCTCTGCTCGGCCTACCTTGAGTCCCCGGTCTTTCTGCCACAGGATCTTTGCACATGTTCCCCCTGACCCCCGTCATGGATGCACTTGGCCACACTGTCTCCTCATTAACCTATGCACCCCTCAGACCTCAGCAAAAGCACCACTTCTTCAAGGAAGCCTTCCCTGACTTCTTATCCAGTCAGAGCTTCCATAACGAGCTCTTGCCTCTTCTGCACTGTCGAGGCTGTGGTCTTACCCTCCGTTGTGTAGCTGTGGGATTACTGTCATTTCCCACACTGGGCTGTCAGTACCCCAGGGGTAGAGATCATGTCTATTTCCGTTCCTCTTCCTGTTCCCAGTGCCTGGCACAATGACTATTTGCAGAATAAACAAATGGGAACCACTTTTAATATTACAGCTGAAAAGGCAAGACAGGATCCCTCCTGGAATATGTCAATCTGGGGGGAAACAAGACACACAGAGACTTGACATGTTCACTCAGCAGCACACGGCAGGGTCCAACCACGTCCACAC